GGCAGCTCTGACACTGGCAGTGGTTTTCAGGCAGCTGCCGAGATGCTAGCGGATTCTTCACTGTCTGTAAAGGTAGAGTAAATGAGCCAGGGTCAGCTTTTTATTATCTTATTTGACTCTTTCTAACTTCATTCAGAACCACATGATTTTTAAAAATTTTTCTTACTAGTACACGTAAGTGATACATAATAATTACATTTATCATGAGGCGTTGGTCCATTTTCTTTTCTTTTTCGCCTTCCTTCTCACAACCACATGATTTTGAGAGGCTTTTACAATAAGTCTTCTTTTGAGGGATTGGAAGAAGAATGAGAAAAACATTTGGAATAGACGTGCGTTATTTTCCATTCCTAACTACTCTTCGTCGCTTTTCCTGTTGTAATGTTTTCTCAGATAGCTCCTCTGCATGTGCAAGTTCCAGGGGATACAGATAGTGAATGTGTCGAATGTACTTTCCTCCCCAAAGAGGAAACACTGGAGCTGCAGAGACTGTGTTCAGAGCGCAGCGGGGCCTGCAGCACTCAGGAGCTCTGTCGTCAGGCTGTTCTTGGGAGAAGATGCCGGACTTCTTATTTTGGTTTGTAATTTTTAAAAAACTAACAAAAAAACAAAAACATAAGAACAGTTGCTGCTAGACTTGGGGGTGATTACGGTATGGGACAATCTTTTACTGAGTTTATCTACAGATTCTGTGAGGAGCAAGCATCTTGGAAAGTGACCACTGCTAAGTGAAATCCAAGAGCCAGAATCAGCAGTGTCCTCCAGAACGACAAGGGAAGAAGAAATCTTTTTTTTTTTTTTTTAAAGCACTTGTTTTGTTCATTTGTGGACTTGGCACTTTGTACTGGTTTCACATGTCGAGATATCTTTTGCTTTAAAACCAAGCAGATGGTTACAAGACAGTATTTTTCACCCATATTGCAGACAGCCTCCTTTAAAATAAGAACGGTCTTTGTTTAGCATTAGAATGTCTGGTTAAAGCAGAATATCAACTCAGCTTTCAGTAGACCCTTTCCCCATGAATTCACAACCCTTTCCTATTCTGTGCCTTGAGCTTTGTGCACTTTGCAACTGTGTGATGGTATTGTCAAACTTACAAATGCCTCCTGGAGAAGTTGCTGGCATTCTGAGCCAACCCACCAAAATGTCAAGTGTGTCTTTGTGGCAGGATGTGAATTAAGTGGGAAAGTAGAAATGTGTTGCACATTGGTCAGATTCCCCCTCTCCCTCCCAGTGGCACCAGGGCATGTTCATGGTAATGTGGGGACCAGTTCTCACACAGCATTTCCATTCCACCATCACCTCACCTGATTTCACCAGCTGCTGTGGTGTGGGTGATACCCCATTTCAGATGGGTGGCACTGCAGCACTAGCGCCCCTTTTTCATACCGTGGGGGAATGTCCAGTGGTAGGAGCAGCTTCCTCTGATACTCTAGGAAGTACTGTAGTTACTAAAACCAAATATAATCCATGGCGTGGACTTTCTGATTCATTTCATTTCAGTGGAAGAGATGAGTACTTTAAAAAGTAGTCTGCACTCTGTATCTCTTAAAACAGTGTATTTGACATTTTAGTGGAATAGGGAAGAAGTCACACTACTGCTTTAAGGCCTGCTTCCAGCTGCAATGAAGCTACATTTTCTGTTTCACCAAACCCACAGTGCTACTTAATTCTCTATAAAAGCCTCTGAAGCTTACTCTAGTTGTTTTTGAAAGGCAAAGAAAAATTGAAAGATACGATAAGGGAAAAATACTTTTCTTCTGTTTTGCTTGAATGTAAATTGAGCATAGGCTTCACTCCATTGGGCTACTGATAGTTACCTCTTCAGAGAAGGGAAGACGTACCAGGGATGCCATCACACTGCTGATTTGCAGGCTTTTCATAGAGTTGCCTCTACCAATTCCGTGTGTCTTTTTAGGGGCGTGTAATGGGTATGGGCCTTAGAGGTGGGATATTGGGAGCAAGGAAGTCATCTAAGAGAAGTCCTTGATTTGCAAAATTATGCAGTGGAGTAAAAGTAAAGGTGAGGTATATTTTGAGGTAGTTACCAGCCAGTTGCTGCATTTTGTAGAGGACTTTAGTTGGACTCATTCACCCTGAGCATCATGGATTGTACTGATGAACACTGAATTACTTTTAGAACATATAGAGGCTCTGTGACCTGCTATACCAGTTAACAGGCTGGTATCAAGAAACAATTCCATTTTATCATGAAGCCTAAATTTTACTTTGCTCAGTGGAATGCTTCCTATAGGCTTATATATAGTACCTGGGACTGAAGTGTCTCTTGAGTGGCTTTGATGATATTTCTGAAAGGAATAAAATTGGAACATTTCTTTAAACATAGATGAATTCTTCAGTATCCTAATAACATACCCAATTGCTTTTTCTGGGAAAGAACATTCTTTTTTGGCCAACAGAAGAATTTTCCCTATAATAAAAGCATTGTATTGTGATGTGAATTGGCATTAAAGTCTTTGGATGCCTTTGCATTGTTAAGTTAATGGAGAAATATTTTATGTTCTTTTTATTATTGTGTGTGTTAACCAAAAAAAGTAGGCAAAGGAAAGTCTGTAAAATTTAGTTTCTTAGAGTTTTTGTATAATGACTACATCCAGCTGTGGGTCAGGCTTGGTACCCCAAAGCTGTTATCGGAAGGTGCCCTGAAGGAGTACCCATTTACACAGTGCGTGTGCCCTGGCTGTGACGAATCTTAGCCCCTTGAGGTGCATTACAGGAAACGTATTCCTTTAAGTAAAAACTGATGTACCTTATTACTTGAAATTCTTGACAGACTTCTTTGCTTATAACATGAAATAAAATTTGTGCCCCTCTCATTTTTTATTGACTGAGTACTACGGTTTGCCAGAAAGTATTTTCCTTTCCTGTTTATTTGTATTCTTGCCAGGACAGTATACAGTTTTTCCACCCCAGCTAAATACTGGCTTTTGTATGAAATCATTGGAGATCCAAATCATTGAAGACAGAGTATTTTATATGCCGATTGATTGGTTAGTCAGTACATGCAGTTGATGTGACTAAACTGGCTAGTACTTATGTGCAGCTGAAAACTAGCTACTTAGAAAGCCAGGAGTCAGGTCAGTCATCTTCAAATAATGCATGTAAAATAAATAGATAATATTGTTTTAAGAAACGGTACGTATTTTAAAGGTTGGCCTAAGCTATGGAACAGTGTCATATCTCATGACCTCTGTTGTCACAGCTGCACCCTAACCCGGCAGGAATTATTACTCCTTCTTTGGGCGGGGGAGGGAGTGGGTGGTAAGAAGCAAAATCTGGTATTGTAACTCTTGGCCTAATAGTTCTGAGGCAGGGCGAGTAAGAAGCAGCACCTGGCTGTATGACTTGTGCATTATTAAACTTTGCGGAGTTTTTTCCTGCCCCTTTTGCAAATTTGTACTTCTTTCATTAGGATGAAGGTAATTAGCGGGTAGGTAAGACTGTGGAGAAACGGATGCCCATGCCCGTGAACACTGCACATGTTTCCCGTGCTCCGAGCTGTCCAGCTGCCACTTCCTTGCTGTACGCTATGCTTTCTGCTGGGCTGCAAATTTGCACATATAAAAAATTCCTCAGGAAGAGTTTGCACATGCATCACGTCACAATATTCTGTACAGACCAAATGAGGGATTTGAAGGTTTTTAGCACAAAAGGATAACTTCAGAGTGGTCTGTACACCTTGCAGCAAAGGTAATGGTAATCTCGCAAACAAAATTGGTTTCTGCAGTTAGAAAGTGAGCAGGAGTATCATAGTGTTTGAATAATCCTGTTGCATCTTCCTGTAATCAGAATTTGTCTTACTGAGGCTGCCCAGATTTTATTGATTGTTCTCCCATCTTAAGTGCGGAAATTATTTCTGTGATTACACAGGAGAGGTGTTGCCCTTGAGGTAAAATTCCCTTGCTATTATTAAACTAACTGAGCATTGTTTTATGACTGCACACTAATCTGAGATATGAAAGAACAAACTAAAAACCAAACAAAAATTCTACATTAGCTATCCCGCCATTGTTTGGATGTTTTGACTTGATTATTCTTATGGAGTGTTGTTGATCTTTTAGCTTGGAATATTATGTTTACTTTAATCCAAGTATAGACCTCTTTATGGGACTTTAAAATCCAACAGGTCAAAATGTGAACCTCTTGATTGATACCAGTAAGAGGGTTACAGGACCTTTTTAGCTGTGATTATTGTTTTCAGTAAGATTGCAAGGTGTTCATTTTTATCAGAAGTTAAAATGAAGTTTCTAAGAAGAGTTCATGGAGAAATGGCTGTCCTATCCTATTAGCATTATTACCATATTAAAATTGGCCTCAGTTTTTGGCCACCAAAGTATGTGAAATTTTGCCAGACCTGAATAACTAAAAAGATACCACAACAGGAGAACGGGTTAAAACAAACCAACCAGAACCAAACAAACAAAAAACTGGGGCATTTATCAGAAGTTAAAATGAAGTTTCTAAGAAGAGTTCATAGAGAAATGGCTGTCCTTTCCACGGAAAACGGTTCTTCTGGCCCCCCATTGATTAAAGTCACTAATGCCTCCTCCACTGTCTGAGACCCTGTTCTGAACCTCTTTCCCGAGCCAAGTGCTATAAATCCATATACTGTTTCAGCTTATGTTGGTGGAGTGGCTGTGGGAGAATTGAAGAAAATGATAGAGAGAATTCTTACAGGACCCTGGTATATATATTGTACCCCTGCTGGTTGGAAATCATCTTTATTTCAGGTTGGACTGCATTGTTTAGAATATATTTATGGATTATAATTCTGGGGAATTTATAGGGTGGTTCTGGGGTTAATTCTGTGGTTTGGAAAAAATAAATATTTTGTATTAATTCTCACATGTTATTTCAACATTGTAACTATGTACTAAATGCAATAAGATTGTGGCTATTCTCTTAGGGTGTGTTTTATTAAACAGATGGCAGTTTACTCGCTCCCACTAGTCCAATTTGTCGATATTACAGCCATGCAATTCAGGAGAAATTACTCAAGTGTGAAGTGTGGGGAGCCATGGTTAGAAACAGGAATGCATATATATAATTTTGGAGGTCATATGGTGGCAAGAGATTTCTGCCACTCCCCAACACAGCCAGGGCAAGGAGGAAGCAGTGAGGTCAGAAGGCATAGTACTCATAACAATTGTTGCTCAGGTATTAGTCCAAGAACAACAAAAAGATGGATGAAACAATAATTGATATGGGATACACAGCCACTGACTTGGCCCCTGACCTTTAACCCTTGGTGGATTTTGAATCACTCCTCTATTAGAGTGTATAAGATCACTCTAAAGCATTGTGGTTAATGAAATAAATCTTGCATAGAGATTCTTGGCCTTGTTATATTGTGTTTTAAATTTTGCACAGCTGTCTCTGGCCTTGATAGTTGGTTCACAGGAACTTTGCTAAGTATATACATTTGCTTTTGCCTACAGTATATTTTACTGCCTCCTAAATGATAACCACACTCAGCATCTGTTTGTCAAAACAGTTCACCACCTTGCAGGGCAGGGTGAATGCCGGTCTTCACCCTTGCACGGTGATTAAAAAACTGCATGTAACTATACATAGAAAGTTTTACATATTCCGTACGCGTATGTACTATGCATATAGGTATATATGTTGTTTTTCTTTCTCACTTGCTTGCTCTTTCATACTCGTATAATGTCTTTCCATTGTGCGCCTTTGTCTTAGTTACTTTTCTTGTTGCTGAGACAAAATACCCAACACCCAAAGTTAAAGGGGGAAAGGTTTATTTAGCTCACAGTTTGTAGAGGTTTCAGTCCCTGATTGGTTGGCTCCAAGGTAGTGTGGCAGACAGGCATCACAGAGAAGAAATAGTTCATGGGGGAGCAGAGGGTAGCAGAAGCAACAAGGAGTGACCACAGCTCCTTCTATCCCTTGTATCTCATCCAGGCTACTCAGGGCGGGTCACACTCACATCCTCATCCTAGTGCCCTTGATCCTAGCATTGCACCATGAATCAAATCCCAGGGTCACATACTCCAAAAAAGGCACACGTCCAATCCAGCCACTTCTGAAAAAGGGCACACCTGTGACCGCATGAGACTTCGGAGGGAGGTCTAGACACAAGCCATATAGCCTTCCAGCAAAACTTGGGTTTGGCAATTTTTTGCATGGATTGGCCATGTTTTCTGTATTTCTCTTTGTGTTTTCCTACTATGAAATCAAAAGTAATACTCCAAATTTTTTATTTTACAATTACAGTTTGTCTTCCAGTGTTGGAAGTATGCTTTCCAACATTGTTCTCAGAATGCCCCTGTTTTTTGTTTGTTTGGTTCTGGTTGATTTGTTTTAATCTATTCTCCTGTTGTGGTATCTCTTTAGTTATTCAGGGCTGGCAGAATTCAGTGCCTTTATCTTTGTATTTAAGTCACTTGACAGTTTTCCTTTTCAGTTTCGCCTCAGCTGGGTAGGATGCTGTTTAAATCTCCTTCTACCTTTTTTTTTTTTTTTCTTTACAGGGTATAAAACTTCTACCAGAATCAGCTCTATGTGTATTTATTAATTTATTTCTTTTTGGCCTTTTTCTCAGTAACCCAAAATTCTGAAGTTTTAAATTTCAAAAACCATGATAAAAGACAGTCAAGCACAGAATCTGAGATCAAAGGTTTGTCTCGCCTTAGCTGTTTATAAGTTCTTGGGTAGGTTAGTCCTTGAGTCCTTGTTTCCTCATATTAATATTAAGCCCGCCCTTCCTCAGTTTGCTAGTGAGAGAGAGAGCCGAAAGAATATAACAGTTTCAAACTTCCCAATCACTGAAGTGTTAAATAACATACCTCAAAATATATAAAGAAAAAAATAGGCACAACTACAAGTAGTAGATTAATATGTCAATATAGTGGACATTTCAGCATACTTCCGTCGGTAATTAGGTCACGCAGAAGACCAAGTTACTAGAGTTATTAAAGAACTAGAAGGTTAAACCGCATAGACAGTAAATTTGACCTGGGGTGGATATAAGTGTGTGTGTGTGTGTGTGTGTGTGTGTGTGTGTAAATACATTATAAGTATTGTTTGCAAACCAAGACTAAGAGTGTATGTAAAGTACAACAGATGATGATCAAGTTGGATGTGCTGTGTCTCAAGGGATTCAAGATTGGTTTAATATCAGAAGATAAATTGTGACTCATATTAATGGATTAAAGTTGTATGAGCAAATTGTTTAAGAAAATCTGGAGTCTACAAGATAAATTAGAAGAATTAAGAGTTTATCAAGGGGGCTGGGCATGGGGGCACACACCTGTTCTCCCAGCACTCAGAAGGCTGAGGCAGGAGATCGCCGCAAGTTGGATGCCAGTCTGGGCTACATAGTGAGTTCAGGTCCAGCCTGAACTGCATAGTGAGACCCTGTCTCAAAAAACAAACAAACAAAAAATAATTATCAAGGTATCTGAGACAAAATCAGTGTGCAAATGTCAGTTTCACTTTTATGTACCAGCTACGTACAGTAATGCATTATAAATTTTAAAGATGTAAATACAACTCATGTGGAACAAAAAAAATGAAGTACTTCAAAGGAAAGTTTAATGAAAAGTATGTAATACTTCATGAGAAAAATTTAAAATATGAAAGCCATGTAGATTTCTAAATAAATGAAGAAGATGTGATTGGATAAGGAGTCTCAATTTTACCGAGTTGAACTCTTTCTCCAAACTGTCTAATAGATTCAGTGTGGTTCCTGTAAAATTCCCAGCGGTTTTTATTGTGAATCTTGACAAGCTGGTCCTAAGATACAAATCAAAGTTCACAGGGCTGTGGGTTCTCAAGACAGTCCTAAAAAAGAATGAAGTGTGAGAACAGCTAGCACTATAGGATCATAAAATTTCCTGTAAAATGCCGCATTGGAAGCAGTGTTGGTGATGATAGGAAGTAGGGAGATCTTTCTCAAATGGCAAAGAGAAGGAGAGAGGGGAAGGAAAGGGGACGAAAACAAGTAATCAAGATGCGTTATGTACGTGCACCAACTCCCCACAAGTGATACAAACATTATTAGAGACATGTACTAATTTTTTTAAAAAAACGATCAAACAGCTTTGGCAGAGGAAAGTGTTTTGTGAACAGGGTAATGCAAACTGTCAATTACCAGAGAAATGATGTGGCTATACTGATAGTAAATTCTAAATAAGCCCCATTGGGAACAAGATACAGATACTCACAACATACACCTCACTGTTAACACTTAAGTGTAGATCTGTAATGAAAACAGCTCGAGAGAACCTGTAATGAAACAGCTGTGTTGGAACCAGGCACAGGTATTGCATGAAAGAAACAAGTGGCTCATAAACATGAAAAGATGTCCAGCCTTCGGCAGTAATCAGGAATGTACATTAAAACCATAAGTGCCACTTCTAGCCACCAAATTGGCAGAAACTAAAGCCAGAAAATACCAAGTGGAGAAATGATGACAGCAGTGATCTGTTACTGCTGTTAGCATGTAAGTCAGTACTACCTGGGAAAGTCGAGCCCAGGCATTTCTGAGAGCCCGCTCTGTACACTTAGACAAATTCGCATGCATAGGCACCAGGAGATGTGCAGGAGTGTTCTTATCATGAACAGCTTTAGTAGTGGCAACCAAAAAGAAGCAGGGGGGCCTGGGCACATAACGCAGTCGTAGAGCACTGGCCTACACGCTCATGGCCGTGAGTTGTCTCTGGCATGGAAAAAAGAAGAAAAAGAAGGGAAAGAGGGAGCCATATCCCTGTCAGCAGCACAATGGGTAAATGTGTCTGCTTGCACGGTGGAATTCTGTAGAGAGCAAGGGCATCAGACACAGCTGTGGGTGTCAGCGTGGATGAACCTCGGAAACCAAACTGAGAGGAAGAAGCATGTCAGAGCCAGGGTCAGTACCATGACAGGAAGTTCAAACCCAGGAAAAGCAGTATTTAGGGGTTCATGTGCAAGTGGTACAGTTAAAAGGAAAGACACAGAATTATTACAACATCAGGATCATGGTTTTCTTATGGAAGGGATGGTGGAGGGAAAGAACAGAGAGGATTCTAGAAGCTTATAAACACTTGATAATAACATGTGGACTGATGTAAACATGTCCATTCCCTTTGAGCTAAAATAAACCCATCCAGAAGCCAGAAGGCTATTTGTTTTTAGTATAACTTAAAAACTCATGGAAGTGTAAACAGATGAAAATAGGAAAATATTCAAAGAAGAAATAAAATGATATACCGAAAAGCAAAAATCACATTCTAAAAAGTACCATTAAATCAACAGTTACACTGGTTTAAACATAGGCAAGTTAGTGCAAAATAGTCTAGGAAATTTAAGTACTGTGAAGAATTTAGAGTATCTTAAAAGTGGCCTTTACAATTCATTCTAGCCATGATGGGTTACTCAGTGAAAGATGCTGGTTATCACCGGAGAAAATTAAATTGATTTCTGTCATCTCATTCACCCAAGGTATCCCAGCTGGACTAAGAATTAAACTAAAAAGGATGATGTAAGAAATAGAAGGCAGTGTCATTGTTTCTTGGGATTCGAGAGGTTGGGTCTAAGGACAGAACAATTGTGTGAGACACACATTGAACACAGACCCCTGGCCTGGTCCTTGCCCCCAGGATGTGTGTGTAAAGTAATGTTTAGAGTTAAGTGTTTGCTTCACACTAATGCACATAAGACAGGCGAAAGACAAAAGGGTAAGGTGAAAATGTTTTAAAATGTTGTTCGGGCTATCTGTGGTTTTAAAAGACCTTGTTTTTCTTTCTTTTTTTTTTTTTTTTCTTTTGGTGAAAGTGTTAAATTTTGAAACTCCTAGTTTTAATACTATATGAAGAGAACTCAGTGTTCAAGTTTTAAGGTAAGTTTATTTTAATGTTTGGTTTTAAAGGAAAAGAAAACACTTCATTGATTTCTGTGGATTCAAATGACTGTGCTTACTGAATGAATCTTTCAGTTCCATTCACC